ACCCACCCCCTGGGGTCTCCAGGCTGCCCTCCTTCCGCCGGGCTCCTTCCTGAGATTTCCAGGGGGAAGGTGGGGCGGCAGGAGGGTCTGTCCGCTGCAGGAGAAGACCATTTTTGCCTTTTCCTAAAGATGAAACAAGGTTTCTTTCACGACAACAAAGGGCCCTGAGGGGACTTGGAGACCAAGGCGTTTCCTCTGGTGTAAGCCCACGGGAACAGTAGCCCACGTCTTCCTGCTGCTTGCTAAGTTTCCTTTCCCTTTGGGGTCTGGTGAGGTTCCCCACAGCGGCCTGTGGCCAGGCCCCCTACTGTGTTTCAAGTGCCGAGCCCCCAGGCGTCTGACCTCACCCCTCCCCACATCATTTTCTCCCCCCCCACCTCCCTGGGTGGCCATGGCATACTCATGGCATGCTGATGGATAAGGGTTTTCCCAGCAGCTTTTCTGGGGAGAATGGTCTTCTGGATATTGAAGGGGGCACCCCTGCAGCAGCAGCAGCACCTCCTGGGTGAATGTGGGGCAGTGCTGCAGCAGCAGCAGCAGCAGCACCTCCTCCCCCCGGGTGAAGGTGGGGCGGTGGTGGCAGTGCCTGAGGGCAGCTGAGGGAGCCACCGCTTTCCTCCAAGCATGAGGGGTCCACTGGCTCTAACTGCAGTTTCTCCCCCTGCTCGGGGCTGGGTTTTAGGGCCACCGACCAAGGTGACTTTGGCGAAGAAAGTTCCTGTGTTGAAAGAAGATGACTTCATTTTGGCAGAAGGGTAAGGAAAGACACAGGACACAGACACACACACCCGGATACCGGGTGCCAGAGGAGAGGCGGGAGGTTGCTGTAAGGATGAGAGAAAGGGCCCCCCTTTCTTCCAGGCGTTTCGACCGCGTTGGATCTCCTTTGCAGGAAATCCACTGGGATTTCCATCCTTTTCCATTTAGAGGCCATTGGATCAGCGCTGTTGCTTGGGTTTGCTTTGCGGGGCGTGTGTGTGTGTGTGTGTGTGTGTGTGTGTGTGTGTGTGTAGGGGGGAGAGAGAAGACC